AAAGTTGAATATTTCAAAAATTATAAATTATAAAATCATTTGTACATTTCAAATGATTTTGTTAAAATTTAAACTTTAAATGCTCATTAAAAAAAATCTTGCCTATGCATTTTAAATATTTTTCAACTAATATTGTAAATATTATCTATCAAAATATCTATCAAGAGCATTTTATTGAATTTTCGAGCTTTTTTGCAAACAAATACAATTTTATAAACAATTATAAAAAAACAAAACTAGATAAACTAAAAAAATTCTATATATTACACAATATTATGTAAAGAAATATACCTATGCTAGTATAAAAGTATAATTTTCATAATCACTCGTACGGAGTTATTACTGGTTGGGATAGTGAGTTTACCACTATTTGAAAATGTTTGTATTTTAAATACAACTATAATATAATGTAATATTAATATATAATAGATAATAGAACAATGAAATATATGTAACACTAAATTAATAGTGTCCTGCAACTGCTAACTTTGGATTTAAAAAAAATTCCAAGTTATAAATTAAAATTGTGTCTTATGAGTAATCACTAATCACTTATAACGGGTAATTCTAAATTAAACCATATAATGTATGTTTATTTCAAGTACTTAAAAATAAGTTATAATTATTAAATTACCCTAGGATCAAGGAGCAGAAAAACGACGACGACAAGCGGCGTTTGTATATTATTTGATCTCTCTTATTTTATATGCATTTACCCTCAGAAATAAAATATGTGTCTACATAGGGGAAGCATATTTTCCATGAAATTAAATTTTTATTTGAAGTATAAAAAGTAAATTTAACCACCAAAAAAATATGAAACCAAAATTAATTACTTTAAACATAGACGCTTTCGGGCTTCGGCGGAATCCTTGATTATTGTGTGTGAACTGCGGAATAAATCAGATACCAATGACTGAACTTAAGTTTTGCTTGGCTAACAGAAATTTTAGATCGATCGCGTCTTTGCAACTACTTAGAAAATTGCCACGGATTGCATTATAATTTATACTACGTCAATATGTTAAAACCTTAGATAGATATTATATTACAAATTTTTATATCAAAGAGGTCCATGTTTGAGATTTGATCATTAAGATAATGAAATGAGATATAACAATAACCAAAATAGTTTATAATTTTAAAATTTAAATTACAACAATTTATAAAGTACCTATTATTTTAATTTAATAATTGATGAAGGTGGTGTTTAAATATTCAAAGCACAGGCATTTTTTTTATGAGTTAGTAAATACAAATCTTATTGTAAATAAATGTGATTATTACATATTAGATTTAACATAAATAGGTATTCAGTGCCTTATACATCAAATTTACCGAGTACCGACTAACCAACTATAATTTGTAAAATTCCAACTTAAATCTTTTCTCTGAATACTGCTGTCGAGCACGAAATTAATAATTAATATTTTACGTATTCATTTTGAGTGCAGTGGTTAGGTATATTTTAAGGTATTCGAGAATATTTAAATTTTAAAATTTCCTTATTTACTTTCATGCCACAAGCCGACGGCATAGTAATATTCATATATCACTTAACATTTATATAAACTAAAAATAAAAATTGTTAAATTTTGCAGGACATAAAAACTCCCGTGTACTACTGTAATATGACTAGTATGCACAACACTATTTATATCTATTTAATTTTATAAATATGTTATTATTCTGCGACCTGGATAATATGGATTTGCCGTGGTCGTTTGTGATACCGTATTTTTTTGTGTTGCGCGCTCTGGAATAAAAAATATGCCCCTACTTCACCCGGGTAGCAAATCAAATTTTAATTTTGAGACTAAAAAGTAAAATATTTAAGCCCCAAAAGAATAAGTATTCAAACTTACGTATACATCGACTCTTCGGGTAATATATAGCTGTAGCAAGGCGCCATATCTTGAGTGCAGACGCCATATCGAGCAACTTCTTCCTTCATCTAAATCCGAATTGAAAAATCGAGATTTTTTGTAAAAATTACTTGAGTAAAATGAAATATGTGAGTAAATGTTTATTGTTGCCATACACATTTCATTTTGTTCAATGAAATTATTAGAATTGCTAATCGTCTCCGGTGAGTGACGACGATCGGCTTTTGCCATAGATGATAGGTATCATAATATAATATGTTGTCATCAGTTTTCGAGTTTTTGACTTCTTTGGATTACACGATACATTTTGTATTTCAAATTCCGAAACAGAATATTATTGGGAGTGTTTAAATCTATACAATGCAGAACACGGCACTCTGAGTATAGGCCATTTAGATTTTTAGATACACTACTGTCGCGAGTCAATTTTTACGTCCGGCATCTAGCAATATTGTTTTTAGTCTTAACGGTTCAACTGTAACTTAACATACAACTCTAGAAGTGTCGAGACTTGAAAAAAATTCAAAATTAGGCTTTGAAATATACAGAAATAATAAAAAATTGGATACTTTAATCGTGCCTATAATATTCTCTCTGGGCTTGGCATTAATACGTTATTAAACAATATTATTCTATAATAGTGTGCAGTCACCGATGTATTTGCTACAAAATTGTGTGGTCATATTATACTACTACACTATAGTGTAAGAAATAATATAATATGTACACAGCTGTGTAGGTACCTAACTAAGGCTCTCACATAAAGGTAAGTGACGGGGGAAAAAAAATGTATCGCTTCAATAGTACTTTACTATATTTATTGTTTTATATTTTAAAAACTTACCCTACAAATTAAGTACTACAAGTATAGTTTATACTTTGCAAAGGTCGCTGTGGGTATTTCTTAAAATAGGTAGTATTAAAAAAAAAATAATCATGAACATTTTATGTTTGTTAGTTAGGTACAAGTGAATTGACTAGACCAATTTGAATTAGTTAATGCTAAAAAAGTTGTTAATTTAAGTACCTACCTAAATAGTAAGTCACATGTGACATCCCACATCGTACCATGCTGATATAGTAACACATGATCCAAGTGATATGCATTCCCAATAACATTAAGATGAAACAATTAATGCTGAATACGGTTTAATGCTTTTAATTATATGTTGAACAACAATTATTCATAATATTTTTTGTTTTAAAGGCAGTTTCCAAAAACGTACATAAATGAATATCAGTTGTAAATTTTCTCAAACTTATAAGCCATATAACAGTTAAAAATTGCATATACTTGTTATAATCTGTATATATATTATGTTTAAGGTAGGTAGTAGGTACATTAGTTACACGATATAGACACATAAATTATTAAAAAAATGTGATTTTATATCTATATTAAAAAAAAATTATACAGCTGAAATTGAAAATATAATCATATATATTTTTTAGTTAAGGTTTGTAGTATTATATTGATGTATGAACTGAAGAATACAATGTTGAGTAGTCAAGATAGGACATATTTACTTTGATGAACTGATTCAGTGAATCTTTTGATCATAAGAATCATAGGTCAACTCGTCAACTTGTTCATTTGTTTGTGGACCCCGAAAAGTTAAATTTGTGGAATCATTAATCAAATCTTCGATGAGGTGTTTCTTATCATAATTATGCAAAATTAAATCATATCACTTAATTCTAGTTCAAACATGAATATAAGTCTTAAGTTAGTAAACTAGGTTTGAATATAAAATAATTATTTATAAGAATGGAAATATCCATTATCCAAGTAGTCACTATTTCCATTTTTTCGTTTTAATAGATGAAATTTCAATTTAAATAATGTAAAAAAAATTATTTTGTTGGCATACCATCAAAAAGATAATAAATAAAAATCATCTACATCCTATATAGAGTTAAGTAAAAAGTAATAATATTAGCCAATAAACTATTTACAGTAATATTAAAGATCAAATATTTATCAATAGAATAATATGGACAACTTGCTGGACAGTGAAATGGTATAATTAAATCTTTAAGTCCGCCCGACTTAGGTAACCTACTTAGTCGGATAAATCAATCATCCAGGGAAATTTTATTTTTAAAAATATATTTTGGCAAATTGAAAGTGGAAATTGATTTCTTAAATAATATTTTAAGAATTTCATATTTTATTTTATTTTATCTACGAATAAGAAAAATTGCTATTAACTTGATTATAATATAAAAGTATTAAGTTCAAAAAATACAAAATTTGTTTGTTTGTTTTTTAAAAATGTTTTGTTTGTAATATTTATTTATTCATTTATGGGATTATTGTATAATTTAGTTTTATAAAATAGTAAGTTTTTGTACATCAACTGTCAAAAGTTGCTGAATTAACGAGATGAATACCTTTACCTAACTTCAAGACAAATATTTAAAAAAAATAAACAAATGACGTTTGAATACTTGGCTTACAGAAAATAAAACCAAAACTTTGTTGGTATATTTTATCAAAAACAGTCATTGACTCTAATGTAAATGTATGATAATAAGTAGCAATTATCAATGTTTTTTTTTATAAGTAGTTTAATACCTGTCTTATACTGTTTGATCTGTTTTATCACCTTTATTTAGATGAACATGTAAATAAACAATAAATAAAATATTTATACATTTTAGCTAATGTAAATTTAAAAGTACTTGCAGTGCTTGGATTTTTTTTTTTTATTTAGTTGTATTGGATCAGCACCATCTAACACATTAACTTAACACCATTACAAAACAGTATTAATTTTATACAGCTGATACCTACATTATATTTTAGAGATATTTGAGCAAAATCTTCAGCTTGACACTTTTCTTCGTACAAACAATAACTTTTATCATATACGTTATCCAGAATTTGTATCCTAAAACTAAATCCGCAAGAATATTGTTCATGTGCTGGCATGGCTCTTAAAAATTGGTATAAAAATGAACAACAGAAGACCCGTTTGAACTGAAAACCACAAAATACTATATTAATTTTATAGACATCAAAAAGAAATTCCTAAAATTTTAACAAATAAAAAAACTTACATAATATTAGATAGTATATTGTGATATTTTTTAAAATTATTATTTTCTCCCTTGTTTACCTACATTGGGTTATATCAATAATTTTCAAAAATACAAATCAATTTAATTCTGAATCATTTATAATATATTATATTAATCGAACATTAGAGTGTTATTTGTTCAAAATACTGATCCGTCATATTTGTTCTTTGCACCACCAACACTAAACACTCTCTCTACTGTTGCACTGCTAGGTAGTGGAGTGTTGTACTTCACAAATACCTGAAAACTAAGTACAAATGTTTTTGTAGTATTACTATACTAATAGTATAAGAAGTTTTCAACTAATCTTACTTTTTTGATAGTGGATAAATTATGCAAACATTCTAAAGTCTTTGCTGGAGATGTGCCCAAACATCTATCTATTTCATCACTAACTGTTAATTTTTCCTCTCGGGAATTTTGTGACCCGGTAAAAAAGGTAGATAAATTATCTTTCATTTGGTTATCTTCTACATCATTGTTGTCATTATCACTGGTATGTAAGTCATAACAGGCACTTTTTAAATATTCTGGGGCCAATAATTTTTGTATATCATTTTTAATCCATGCTTTTTTAAATAGTGGGTGGCAGACTGCAGCAGTAATTAAAAATTTGTCTATCAAATAATCGGCAAACCTTATTTTCATACCTAAAAAACAAAAATTATTATCAATAAAGTTTGTTTATTTTAGCTCATGAGTATATAAATGTAGGTACTACAAAGAAATATAAATATAAATAATAGATCAGCTGATTAAAATTTTACATTTTACATCAGTAAAACTGTAAGAGCTAAGAGATACTATAAATTTACTACTTGGTAAAAAGCATTTACCAATAAAGTAAAACAAAAACAGCTAAAATGAAAAGAAATTAAATGTGTACAATTTAAGTATGTACTTGGCTAAATAAGATTAATGTATTTAAAAATATTAATTACTACATAAAATTAAGTATGGCAGTCACCAGTGGTTTCAAATAATTAGAAACTGTTTGATCACTTGTCATTAATTCATATTTATAAATTAGTTCTTCAATTGTAGGTAGGAGATGACCAAACTACCAAAGTACATGTTAGTATCACCCTGGAGTAAATCCAAGCTTATTGAAATTGGCCCCATAATTGTTTGATATTGACACATGAAATAAATATCACTTCTATTAAATCTGAAAATATTGTTCATAAAAACTAAAGATAAAATAATTAATAATTTTTTAAGATTTACAATTTACCTGCCAATAGCCAATTTGTCCATTATTATTCTAAATTATTATTCTAATAAGTTCATTATTGTGAATTCCAACGTGTCTCATTGGGCGTAATTAAATTAACACCAAGATTTTATTTAAATAAATCAGTTGACTTAGTTGAGAGAACTTGTTTATTTCACAAAGCAGTAGACTTGGCAAAAGTGCTTCTTGACTGTTTTTTGTATGCAAGATTCGACAAAGCATTTTTAGAGACCTAGAAAAAACAAGTTATACAAATAAATTATTTTATTTTGTATTTAATTTGAAAAAATTTGTAATTAAAAATTAAAAATTAAACAAACATAATTTACTGATATTTAAAATTGAAATTTGGGTATACATAATAGAAAATAGTTAATGCCAATCATATTCATACTTATATCTTAGAATATGTTTTTCATATACTTTTATCATTTAAATTGAAAGAAAAATTTAATTTTAAAATGTATTACAACTCATACAAATTTGATTATGAGTATTAAGTGTTAAACCTACTACCTAATAGTTTTGTCCTGATCACTATACTTATTCAAAATATACTCTTTTCGAAAAAAATATTTTTAGTATTTTATAATTTAACTATATTAGGTTATCTATTTCAGTTGGTTATCAGTAGCCGCCGCGACAGGTTGTTCTCAGCGCTCTGTTCAATCCCAACGTTTGTGTTCTTTAATTAAACTTATTCAATGAATCCTAAAAATAATAGTAGTTCTCCTCAAGATCGCAATCTTCCAGATACATCAAAAAAAAAAATACAAGAACTAGTAGTGTTGCTCTCACTCCACCTTATACAAGCAAAAATAGATTTGCTCCACTTCTAACTCTCCAAGTCAACGACAATACGGACGGCACCGCAGACGAATTCAGTACTCAAGAATCACAGGTTAGAACAAAAATACCACCTATTTACGTTTACAATATTTCTGATTATGAAAATTTTCATACATCATTAGCTAACATAACCTTCGACGAATTCTCCATCGCGAACACTAAGTCTGCTCTAAAATTAAACATGAATTCTATCGACGATTATAGAACCGCAACAAAGCTCTTCGACGATTCCGGTATAGAATACCACACCTACCAGTTCCCAGAAAACAAACAACTATCCGTTATCATTAGGAACCTCCCTGTGAACATATCAGAAGCTTGTATATATAAAGAACTCGTAGAACTGAAATTCGAAGTAGCCTCAGTCACTCGTCTTCAAAACAAATTCAAAACCCCAATACCTATCGTAGCGGTATTGCTATCCAAATTATCTACTGAGATTTACTCTCTAAACAGACTCTTGCACTGTGTTGTAGCAGTAGAACCAAGGCAACCTTCCAAGGGCATTCCTCAATGCACTAACTGTCAGCGTTTTTCACATACTAAAAAGTTTTGTCACTTACCACCTAGATGCGTCAAATGCGCAGGTGACCACCACTATAGCTCTTGTCCTAAAGAAATTGGAATTCCACCAAAATGTGTAAACTGCCTTAGTGATCACCCAGCGAGTTACAGAGGTTGTACCTTCTATAAAGAAATTTCAAAAAAAAATAATAACAAAAAAGTCGCTTCCCATCTTCCAAGCAATCACACGAAATTCCAATTCCCAGTAAACATCTCTAATAATACACAAAACGACGTGACCGACAAACGTTCATATGCTGCCGCAACCAAAAATAAATTGCAAGATAAACCATTAAACAACACAGATAACGACTTCATGAAAACGCTGTTACCCTTAATTAACACATTCGTTTCTCAATTACTGCAGAAAATAATAGAAAATCTGCCAGCCATCCTTAACAGCGTAAATCTAAACTCAAATGGATCCCCATAATACCATTCTATTAAACTGGAACGCCAACGGACTAAAAAATAAAAGGAACACTCTACTAGCCTTCCTTACTCACCATAATATTGATATCGCTTGTATAACAGAAACACACTTATCAAGCTCAGACAAAATTAAATTCCCTAATTATATTTTACATCGCGTAGATCGTGTTACACAATCACGGGCTATGGGTGGTGTTGCTATTCTCGTTCGTGCCCAAATTATACAACAAGTAATTTCTAATCTTAATCTGTTGTGCCTAGAAGCCGTAGCAGTGCAAATTAAATTAAATAATAGATACGTTACTATCGTCAGTGCTTATCAACCTCCCAGCCGTCAAATGCACATTTCTGACTACGATAAAATAATGAGTCTAGATAACTCAATTATAATGGCAGGCGATCTAAACGCAAAACATACTAATTGGGGCTGTCGTGTTAGTAATCCGAATGGCACCAAATTACTATCTTTTATAGCCAACACGCCGTATGCAATTAACGCTCCAAATGAGCCTACTTATTTTCCTTCAGATTGTAATAGACAGCCAGATATCTTAGACATTTTATTATTAAAATCAATTCATTTTAATTGCACGCAAGAAGCTCTCGCAGAGTTAGACTCAGACCATATCCCGGTTAAAATCACAATTAATTCATCTTCACAATCTTATCAGTCAAACAACACTCTAATTAAAGGCAAACCAAACTGGAATATATTCTCCAATCAAATTATTACTAACTTAATAATACCTAAAACTATACCTACGATTCAAGATGCAGAACAAATGTCTGAACACCTAACCGCAGTCATTGCTAACGCCGCACGAGCGTGTTCTAAGCCCACGCTACATAATACTAAAGACATTGGCTTTCTACCTCCATATATACTTTCCTTAATTCAACCATTGATTATAAATACTATAGATTGCTCACTGGGCGGTTTTTCGATGGTCTACAAAAAAAATCTCGGTAGATGGCGATAAGAACCAATAATAACATTTAGTAAATTCATATTTCATTTTAGCTTCTGTCAAATGGTCAAGTGCGGTGCAGGGTAAACAGGTTTTCAGTAGTGGCAGCCGGCGCGCCGACGTAGCGATATAAATAGTTATAAATATTTCATTCTAATTAAATTAATATTTTATTGAAGACAAATAATAATAATAGCAAGGAACAAAAATCATATAATACCTATAAAATATTAAGTTTTTAGATATAATTATTATATGTAAATTATATCATATGACATATACAGTTAAAATTATTTATTTTCTAAAACACGTAACTTATCTGCATTTTGTACCGTTCTTTTTCCAATTTTCGAATTTTCTGTTTTACATTCCTTCTTTAAATATTTTTGTTCTAAACAACAATTCAATAACATACATGTAATGGCAATGGCATTTTGAATTTTGAAAATGTGTATATTTTTTATTAATTTGCATCAATGCTTTATCTTTTAGTTNTTCTAAAACTGGTTGTTTTAAAGAACTACCAGGATTATGCTTCAATGATCCATCATTGAGTCTCTTTAAAGAGTTTTTGTTCGCTGCATTATCAATGTAATCTGAATAAAATGAAAAAATATAACCTTTTACTTAACATTATAAGTTTTGATAAATAAATTACATTTTTTGATCACTGGCGCAACTGGGATTTATTTTTGAGGGGGAGGGGGTTATTTATTTTATTTTATTTCATATGCACAAGAATACTGGGCCCCTCTGATATGACTCGTGTGGGGGCCCAGGAAAATACATAATATAGAATAATGAGATCTATGATACATCTTAAGCACTTGAAATTTGACTTTTAAAAAGCTGTGCGCCACTGTTTTTGATATATATTTATTTTTTGTAATATATTAGGTATTTGTGTGGTATTTAAAATTAATTTAACACACAAGATAGATGGGTCAACTGTCATAGGCAGGTATGAAATTAACATTCTACTTACGCTTAAATGTTTTCTTATATTAGAGTTTGAACGTGAATCCACCTTGTAACACTTTGTATCGACACATCTTAAGCACTTCACTTTCAGCTTCTTATAAAAAAAATTATCCTCAAATCTCATTGATTCTTAATACTTTAAAATATTTTTTAATAATTTGGCCAGGGTAAAATTGGTTATTCTAAATCTGCAACCTGATCGACTTTGGTTGAAGAATCACAATCACTCATTGTATTACAATTTAAAACAATTTAAACAATGAAAACAAGAGTATACGGTTGATGCAATACAATTATTAACAATCTGTAGGAACGTCAAGCAGACAACAGCGAACACGATACAAATGATAAGAACCCAAGTAATAAATATTACAATAGTGTAAAACAGCGTAGGGGGCTATACATGCAATATTGTAATAGTGTATAACTGATTGTGCGCTAATGACCCATTGGTAAAATTGGTTATTCGCACTCCGTACACACAAAAATAATAATATTTTCTTATAAAATTATGAAAATAAGATAATACCATGTTCCACATATTATTATGGTGTTATATTAATATAGGCGACATAGCCATATTCATTTATTTATAGCAGAATCAGTTATCACTCAATATCAATGTTTATGGTTCTACTGATAAGGTAGTCGATACCAGGCCTAACGTAACGGCGTTGGCCGGTATTATTATTTAGAACTAAATTAATTCGATAACAACAGCGTCAACTACTGCCGCCGTATTATACTAACCCCTAATACGTACGTAAGAAACTGGCCGTCACGCTCTTCAGTTTCCTGAAAGATGTGATGTTT